TGTTGTGAATAAAAGAATTTATTACATGGTTTTGAGGCTAACACAGCGTAAAAGAGATCGCTAAAAGGGTTTATTTGTCATSAACAAGCAGAATATTTTTGAATGATCCTAAATAACCCACAAATTCAACGGATTTTGACTGCTTTGCAAACTTAGCAAGACAAGARCGAAGCGCACTTGAAATTACCCATGATGCAAAAGTGCGTGAGTGTTTACAGAAACTCACCTGATTGGTCAAGTGAGCTGTCAATATCGAGTTTGCAGCCTCCTCAGAGAACGGTGCATACGGGACACAAGATAAACGTATGTATCCCGGATGATACAACACAACATAGGGGTTTGTACTGGCAATGAACATGTACGCCCTGACATCAAACTTGAACCCGTTTAGAAGAAGAGGATTTGTGATGTATCTGTGGGAGAATTAAACAAACWGATACTTAGTATACTTGTATATAAATTTTCATCATAGGTCGAAACTTTCACATCATCTTAGGCAACTAAAGCCAAGCATTTGCTATGAGTATAGAGGGTGAGGTATCAACAAGAAAAAAGACTTGGCCTGCATGTTTTTTTAAATGTTTTTGGCACAGGAAGGCAAAACATTTCACCAAGAGAACTAAATATCGGCTCATAGTTGTGGCGGACGCAACGTCAAAATAAAATTATGATGCGAAACAAGTCGCGAGTCAAAAGAAGGTCTAATTTTACTCTCTGTTATGTGGGAGTAACTTTAAACATTTTCTAATGCAAAAATKTTCGGTAGCGAAATACGAGGAACAATGAACGTCCAACTTAGACTCGAAACATCGCTACTTTCGAAGGGATAGATTTATCGCTGATAAACTGTAACAACTGAACGATAAGCGCTGTTTCCAAAAGGCCAAAGGTTTTTACGCAAGGTTCAGAAACTTTACTCAAAAAAATTATGTTTGTAATGAATAATTCATTGCGCATCTATTGTATTACGCTAGCCACATTATCACCATCATTACCTTTGTATAATACGTCCTTGCGGCGGTCTTACGTGAGCGTTACGTCTCCCATTACTTGCCRCGTTGGGTTCCACGTTAAGACGTAATTTTTCCCGTAACTGTTGCGAGCTGTTTATCATATAGATGCCTTTTCCTTGATTCTGTCCTATCGGCTTACAGATCCACACCTCTCCCTCTGTACGCAACAAAATAGAAAATGTTACTGGCCGTTTACGCACTGGAAACGAAATTTCCGTCTCAGACAAAAGAGAGCGTAAGCGCCATCTTGGATTTAGTGGAGTAAGAGTACTTTTACCTTTGTAGACCTCGTTGACAAACTTTTGTTTCTCGGTCATATTTGTTAACTTGATTGTTTCAGGTACAAATTCACTCAACTGAATGCGTTGCCTGTGGACAAAAGACACAGCCATCTTAAACCAGACAAAATTTTCAATCTACCATCGATAGAAATATTGGAAAGCTAGTAACAGACTTGAGAAATAAAAAGATGCCCAATGTCAACTTATTACGGGCGTGCGCATGGAAATCAAACATTTTATGGAACAATATAATTCCGAGACTCTTTTACGCAAGAAAATTTTAAATATTTTTCATGTGCGCGCCTGCAATACTTTGGCAAGCGGTCGAGCATCTCGGACATGAGKTACTAGTCAGCCTTATTTTTAGTTGATTCTTAGGAGCATTCTTGTTATCACGACCGCTGAGATGGGCTCACCTTGATCCGACCTTGTCTAGCACTCGTTCATATTCCTCCAGACTGCACAATAAACCAAGCTTAGTGGTTAACAGACCAATGTTGGAAATATGATTGACAAGCTGTTCGCCTAAAYAAACAAAGTACTAAAAATGAATACAAGCCAAACTGTCAAAGCCCGGGCAAACTTTTCTTTCAAAAGCAAGCACGGCCACAACTTTGAATCTGCAATATTGTAAGAAATATGGAGTGGAATTGTTTAAAGCCCATTCATAAWGCCTTAATAACGTTAAATAAAAGTAATTCATTCAGTTTAGAAGCTAAATTTCATCTCTTTTGCTTGGGCTCCTTATGGCACGGTGAAGGCAACATTCATCGATCCTTATTAAATGCAACTACCATCCAACCTTCATCCAATCTCGTCCCCAGGTCACTTTTTTTCATTTTGAAAAAAAGTGAGCAGAGAAGCCCTGGGAAAGAGGTTGACTACCTGATCTATCTTCTTACCGTCTCTGAAGTTATTATAATCAATTTGACTTTTACATTCCACCCATTTTAGCTTGAAGGACTCGTCATAACGGTCTTCTATCTTACGCCAACCAAGAGTCTGTAACGTGGCTTCGACCCTTGAAAAATATCGACGATATCGTAAGAAATGTGCGAAGTAGTGCGCGTGAGACACTTAAAGGGGCATGGTCCACCAGCATCCCTTTCGAGCTTTTGCTCTTGTTTGAAAATAGAATACTGACATCGTTATATATGCAAAAACGTACTCTTTATTATCCCTTTATACTATATGAATGGGAATACTGTAAGATTCGAACATTAAACTGATGGGTGGAAACGGATTATGAATGGATATTCGAAGGATATTCACCTCATTTTCCATCTAATATGAAAAATCTAAAACACGACCACATTGAATGCTGATGGACCATGTCSCTTTRATGTATAAAGCCACAAAATTGTCACATCTTCTTAAAACGTTAGTCTTCTCTCACAGACGTTATGAGGTAACGGCTGCGAKAGAAGATCACTTAAAAAGTCTAATCGCTTACATTGAGCTACCGTTTCCAGGACTGACGTAGTAAGCGGGCTGCCGACCTCCATGGMGCATGCGTGATCGAGCGCCGTCTCTGACTGGCTTGGGTGGACTGTCTTTCTTCTTGTTGTTGTTGCCATTGTTGTTTTTCGACGGGGAACCATTTGAATCTAAGRAATAATGAATACGAAGGCGAYTTATTGCAAAAGCTCACCAGCGTTGTTTAGGWTAGGATTCACTGAGTTSAACTATYCGAAAATGTGTTACCCTATTGATTTGGGAAATTTCTACATAATTCAGAGACTTTGGCTGCCAAGGARGGGGGRTTCGGGTACCYTTGAAACCAATCCCTGTATGCGCCCCTGAACAYTGAWTTCTAGAAGCAACGAGAGCAGCRGCAACTACAACCTCACTAGTCACAACAATGACAACAGGAACAATAAATATCTTTAATTTTAAAATATACCTCCGGAACTTGGTTTCTCGTCATTTGAAGGCGAATTCCCACCACTGGAWCCATTTTTCTCTGCCTTTTCAACTGGACAAGAACTCATAACATCCTCAACTTSTTGACGGYACTCCGGAGAAGCAATAACTTCAAAACACTCCAATGAAGTSGTGACTTCTTTAGATTTTGTAAGATTTTCTTCCTCAACWTTGCGCACAGTGTTTGCRTCTTCACTATCACTAGTGCTGTCTAAAGYGCTATGTATACAGTTAGTAAATGAAGGCAAACATTCAGGACAAAAGCACTGGTTCTTTCCAGTTATGTTCAAATTTCCACCTTGCTCTATCAGTTTAATGTTTTTCTCGTTATTGGGAATTATATTTCGTTGCTGGACTGTTTTAACAATTGAAGAAACGGTTTCTTTGGAAATCTTGCTGATATCTTCCAGCTTTTGCAATTGGTTGAAAGTTTCTGCAGCTCTATTATCATCTATTTTTATTTCATTTTCTTCGGTATTTTGTGAACCATTCACAAGAGTTGGGACGTTTGACAAATTAGATYCAGCGTTGATTAAGTCACTTGTAAGGTTATCAATATTTTTCGCTTTCTCGAACCCCGCRTTAGCCTCTTCAACGTTGCTGTTTTTATCATTTTTAATGATTTTTTGACCCAATTCAAGGCTTTCCCCTCCAGATAAAATGCCTCTAGTAAGACTTCCGTCATTATTGCAGACAGTTTCCTTTAGTTTCTCGTCTTGCTGCTCTTGCTGGTCGTCGTCTTCTTCTTCCTCAGCAGCCTGACAATTTTCTTCATCGTCCTTCTCAGAAAAGATGGATTTCTTGCCAGGATCATACTTTGAAGAGCGCCAGGRATGTTCAGGGCAAAAACTTTTGCAAACTCCCATCAGCCATGTGTCAATTGACTTGAAGTGGAATTTCATGTCGTAGTAGCTCTTGGAAACGAACTTGTATGAATCAAATACTTGAACACTGTTGACAAAATGAGGGGGAGTAAGAAACACCCTTGAATGTCATTTCGAGAATCATTTGGCATTCACTGGCATACACAACAAATTTACGAAAGAGTTACCTCACCCATAAGGTAGATTCACCTATTTCAAAAACGTTGTTGTCACGAGGACACAGTCCACAGTCTTGAGCCTGCAGAGAATCTCGGGATTTCGATGTGTAATTGATATATTCAAAATATATTTGCTTATGTAGTTTAAATTCAATGGCGGCAAACACTACAACAAGTCTCGCCATGAGACATTTTCCTTGAAAAATGTTCCACGTTTTCAAACCGTCAATGACCTTCAAAGCTATATTCGCTATAAGACCGAGAATKTTGAATAACTGCATGAAAGTGAATACAAAATCAATATGGAAATCTCGAGATTCTTAGCAGGCTCAAGACTGTGGAATGTGTCCTGGAGATGACAACGTTTTTTGAAATAGGTGTAGTATAAACCACAATGTCACATTGTCTTTGTACATTTATTATAGGCACACAGCTGCATGTTTTACTGACGATATTTCATACTTACACTCCTTTCTGCCATCTTGCTCCAATAGTCTTTTCACCATCACCAGCCCACACTTCAACATGTACCATATCATGGCGTTGCTTCTTCCCTGATGGATAACATTAAATAGCATTAAGTTACAGACAGACTTTGAATTACATCCTTGGGAAATTAGCTTTCTCAACAACTGGTGCCTCTCCAGCCTTTTTATAATATTATAAGTTTGTGCTTTCTGTCTGATATAAMCATAGGCGGTGGTGAGATACATCTCCTCAAGATAGACAAGAAAGAGGAGGCAGAAAGACCYTCTCATTTCTTGATGAGTCCCAAGGCTCCAGCTCGGACAACAAGACAGCACAGGGATCCCAAAAAGGTAAAATGAAAAGTAACCTTTCTCTTATTTATAAACTAAGATTGCATCATTTATATCATTCATTATATTTACTGCATCCAATATTTGTATTAATCTAGCTGTACCCTGTGTTCTGTTGTCAACAATTACATTTCTCTACATCACTTCACAAAAAAATGGTTCATAAACACCTGTTTCATAAAACGTTGTCACGGAGAACGGCCAGTGTCGATTGTCAAAGTGAGATATAAATGACTGGCACACTGTTGTTACGCCGTGTTTTGATAAAATAAAGTTTCTCTTGTGGGATTCACCTTGCATAAAAATGGAGGCTAAATGGAGCCAATGTTAAAGACAGCTTACAGTATAATTATTAGTTACTACATGTATTTCTCATCAATTTGCAAAACCCTTTCGGTCATGCAATCCCTGTTTGACTTCCCCCATTTTATCTGACAACCTTTTTTGAAATAGGTATACATAATATTTTAATAGTACATACATTTTTTGCCAGGTTTTTGGTAGTATGTGGCTGATATAAACACAAGATCGCCAGGCTTCATGTCTTCTTCTTTGATATCCATAGGTAGTGTATCAAACTGTGAAAAAAAAGTTTTGTTACCTTGAGACTAAATCAAAAATTGCCATAATTTTATTTGTTAGTTGAACTTGAAGGAGTAACTTGAAGGAGTTCACTTTATTGGTGAGTTCCTGCTTGGAAGAACTTGACTATGAYAGCACTGTTTATTGCAAGTGCAATGGTATGGTTTCCGTCATCATTATTACCTGATATGCTTGGTTTCCTCCACCAATGGTGAATCCAAAATCTTTCTYCAGATCAAGTAACACTCTCCTAACAAGACCACAGCAGTCTAGGTACAGTGGCGCATTGTGGTATGGAGCTGTGTAAAAAAATAATGGCTCGATCAATGTATATTTGTTTTTATTTTGAACAAGAACAAAAGACAAAACAACAACAAGGAGAAAAGTAAACAACAGGAAAAATGTTGAATAAATATAAATGGTTTAAATGCAAAGGAAAGACTGAAAGAAGACAGGAGGGAAGGAAMGTAGGAAAGAAAGAAGAAAAGAATCAATGGAAAAGGGAAAAAGAAGGAAACTTACAAGTTTCATCATGGTATCTCTTTGCATAMGGTACTCCAAAATATTTCTTYACACCWTCTAGGAACTTAGMCCTCAACATTTCCATYGTTTCYGTGTCCTTCCTTTGTGACAACGCTCTTTCCTCCATTACTTTGGCCATTTTAATTTCTCGCTAAAAATTCAAAAAATTCAAATGTCTGTGAATGATATTTTAAAAAGTAAATTTGATAAACTATAAACAACAGGTTATGGAGTAAAGTACAGTAATATTAATTTACTGTRAGTTGGCTGGCTTTTATGCTTAGCAAAGGCTTAAGTAACATTTGATGTTCTCCTTTCTTTGGAAGTGATAACAAAGATCGGAAACGATAAAATTGGTAATTGTTGACAGGAGTTACTGAAGGCTACATACCATTCAATCAAGTGAGACTTTGCATACATAAACATATTCGATTTTTCACCTAAATAAAAGAGGTCTTAAAATACAAYGTGGTTAAAACAAACCTGTCTTCCTTTACGAAAATTTTCAAAAGCTTCTTGTAAGCTCTTGGCCTTCTTCTTCTTCGCATTTTCATTAGGTATTTCCAATACCAATGGCTTTGGTTTCGCCGCCATTGTGCTYAAATCTCTTGCGAAAGGGCTAGCAACCAAACAAGCCATCGAAGATTTAGAAAGTACTCATAAAGGGTTATAGCTTTGGAAAGAAGTTTTAACAGCAATCGTAGGATTATTCAGTGCTAATTATAAGTAACGGTTACCTCAGGGCAACATAAACAAAGAACCGTGGTTTAGCAACGAGGCGTWCAATCGTGGACTCCACTTCCCTCAAGGGATTATAYTGCTACTTCCGGTTAACTGCATTACAAAGCAACTTCCGGTCTTCAGAGAAACAAAAAAGTATGGCCAAACTTCTTTGAAATTCGTAAGAAAAATCACTTCAAACATATTAAGGTAAACTTAGGTAAAATATAAATTATTTTAGCAGTCAAATTTGTAGAAGAAATAGAACGATCTTCGCGCAGGTCCGTTATTTGGGGTCAAATTTTCCTGCAATGTGATTGGTTGCTAAGGAGCCACTCGAGGGAAATTTAATTTTAAAATTTCGAACGTTTGATCGTTGTTGTTCAGTTCGCKTCAAACCTCGTGCAAGAAAGAAGTTTATATTTTTCGATAATCATTCTGTATCAATCGTTGTTTTTTCAAAAAATTCAAGCCATGGGAGCACTTGAAAGCAAACGTTGGAGTGAAATKCCAGCCGAAACTCCGCAAAAATCAATTCTCCCCGACGATGGAATGGTTGACCCTCGCTCGCCGACATTGCAGTACAACCGAACCCCAATACTGCTACAAGAATACGATGAATCGCCACAAAATATAAACTCAAGAGCAGAATTTCGTGATCCCCGCTCTCCAAGCGTCAAAATCACTCGTACTCCTTTGGACTCATCAAAAACTTCATTAGAAAACGAAGACGTATTTGAATCGCACAACATTGATGGTATCACAAACCCTGCWTTTWMTTCATCATCCGCMAAAGCAGACTCTGGTGTTTCAACGTTACGAAAAGARAAAGCAAATCTTAAAAAGACGACAAGCCCTGGTGATTTTAAGCGAAGAAACAGACTAAGCAGACGACAGTCGTTGCCACAAAAACTGTTTTCAGACAAAGGGTCGACGCTWCCTCGATCGCCCCTCGCGCAGCGAAACTACTCCRTGCCTGAYGATGATACTCTGGTCTCTGGAAAGAATAAAAAGTTCACTTTTGTGCCAAGAAAGAAGGGATTCATTGCAGAGGACTTTGCAGTAGACAAAGAAAAYGCTGTGGAACAACTTTTGCTCTGAAGTAGCACAGGACTTCATAAAATGAAATTTAGATTCAAAACGTTAAATGACAAAGTTTATAGTGACTTTCTAAAAGTTAAAATTTTATTTTGCAGTTATCGCAACAACGCTTGTATATAGGCTAGCTTAGTAATTTTGAGGAGAAATATTGAACATTGTTGGTTAGAGCTTTACAAATCATATAGCTCAACATACAGTAAACACTTGGGAATCAAATAATGTCATAAGCCAGGATGGCTGTATATATTGGTAAAGATCAATTCATAGCTGTTATCCAAAATAAATTCATTTTACTACTAGTACTTAGCCTCAGTWTTATTTCCAATTGCATTGTGTTCGCAAGTTSATRAGTATCCTCTCACAACTCTTATTTGGGTCGTTACCAAGGCTTAGTATCCTATATTACATCTGATTCAAACAGAGTGACTTGACTTTCTTTAGGGATTCTGTCGTATMATTAGCTTGCATAGGCGAAAGCCAATATACTTTTCTTGTCCTCAGGCAACACTTTGCCAGCTGTCAGTTCCATTTTAAACATAGCGTATGATGTTGTGCTTGAGAAAAGAGAGTAAGAACCCTCATGGATATTATCCATGGTACCCTGGGACGAGGTTACCAAATACCTGTGGTGTCAACATTACATCTCCTTGGATTCAAAATTGAACTTAAAATCTCCACCTGATGGCTCAAATTTCCACTCTTGTCCAATGAGAGCCTCTGATGGCTAAGAAATCAAAGTTAAAAATGATAATATTAAATACAACAGTACAAAGTAGTAGTGTTCTAACCACACTTGTGTGAATTCTTTTTGCAGATTTTCTGATTAGAAYGAGTTTAGTCTCTTCCACAGACAACACTTCATTTTTGCTCTTTTGGGATTCCTCTGGTATTCTCTTGGCTGAGAGACTTCCCTGGCCATATTGAGGAAGACATGAAGCCCAAGAGTTTAGAAACTACAAGAGCTGAAAGGAAAGGCCTGTGGAGGAGGCTTTTGTAAGTCTACAGCCATCAATATTACCTCATTATTTCCATTACTCTGCTTCATTCCATCTACTGATTCATGATTTGTTTGTTTTGTATCTTGGGCAACACGYAAAAACACACTTTTTTGTTGATGTTTTTTCACTGGATAAACCTTTGCTGATTTTTCTGGTACTGCAGMAGACAAATAAGATTTTCTGGTTACATGTACATTTAATAAAAAAAGCTCTGAGTAGAGTTTTGGTTTTTGTGAAAGGTGTTTGTTGAATTCCTGGTGGCAAAGCTGCCAGCAAATTGTCATATAGTGTAAGTAAAAATAAATTTAGAGCTTCTGGAGCTTAAAGTTAGTCACATCTTTTTGGCCTTTCTAATGAAGACTGGTTCCAGTTACATTGGCAGCCTGGGGAGTGAGGGTTGGTGAAATTCTAAATTTGTTATATGGGAAGTGGGTCTGTCCTGGCATCACAACCCTACCCAGGTTGAAATTGAAGGTTGAAATGGCTCTTACCTAGTGAATGTCCTTTTTTCAAATCATCCTGAATCTTTTTCCTGTAATCCCCAAATACTGAGCGCATTATCTGTCTCTTTTTTGGCTGAAATTAAATAATAATATGATTCATGGAATAAATCAGAAGAAAAGCAAAACAGCATTCTCATTATTACCAGAGGTACTTTTGGTGACTTGAGGTTTTTGATAAGTTGTTCAGTATGGCTGCCTATAATGAAACAAAATATTTTTTTATATTATCTATGAAGGAATATACAATCCAGGGCCATAGCCAATGGGCCACCAAAATAGAACCAAAACATAAGACAAGAACCACCCCTCTTTTGTAAAATGAAAGGGGAAGAATATAAGTATGTTATCCCAGGAAATCATGCCCTGTGGACAGACTATTCAAAAATTCATGACTGCAGCCCTGCAGGAGTAAATGAAATATTGAATGAATGGATGAATAAATAGACTAATGAAAGAGTCAATAAAAAATGGGATAAATGGACAGGAAATATGGATGGATAAATTTCTGGAAAAGTGAATGTATAATAGGATGAGYGACATTTCCAATTAATTACTTGTTGTTTTATCAGGTTTCTGTACTTTTAGGCCAATCTCCAGTTGATTAATACACCATGCCAGCTCTGATTCAAGCTTGTCTTGCGGTGACTACAACACAAATTTAAGTGGTTACATGCATACTATGTTGTACTGTGTTACATGGACGGGTTGATAAGAATAATAGATGAAGCGCTAGAAATCTTACCATTGGCTCTTGATTTGTAGCATTATCCATTGGATCTGAAGCCTCCTTGAAATTATATAAAGTAATTTATTTTTCAATGAGAGACAATTTTCGATTTTTTTACGAAAAAAATTCTTATTTTTGTCATGAGTACCGATAATAATAATTACATTTTCCCTTTGTTCTTGTTTCTTTCTTTTGGCAGCTTCTTTCTTTTTCTTATTCTTCTTTTGTTTTGCTGTTAATTCACCTTTATTTGAACTTTCTTCTTGGACATCTTTTTGATCACCTTCGTCCGCCATTTTGAATAGAGAAGTCAAAAAGACTGGAAACGAATTTTGATCCTAACCAATCGGAAGCCGTATATTGCTAAAAATTTCAAAAAATAATTGTCAATCATTGCCTTGTTTTGTAATATTTTTATACTTTAATATCATTAAAGAAGGAAATTATTGTTTTTTTTTTTTCTTTTAGAAGCATCTTGCGTATCTTTATAACTCGTATTTTCACTATTTTTCTTGCCCAATCACAATGCTCGTTATAAATAAAGCGCGACGATGACGTAACATGTCGGTTTGTTATTGTTTTCGTCGAAGGCGGACAACGAACCAAAATACAACGTAAAAAAAATGGCTTTCCTGGTCGATATAAACCACCAAATCGAGGATTTCTTCATCCCGGAGGGTGAGGTATATGGCGAATGCGAAGATTGTGGTGAAATAACGGCAAGTTGGCAGTTAGAACAGTGTCAATACGGATTTTGTGGCCGGTTTTCTTGCCGACAGTGTAGCTACAGTTGTGCGCGTTGTGGCACTTTCAATCCTCGTTCAGTTTCCCTCTGTAACAGACATACAAACGTTGCTTATCCTGTCTGCAGTGAGTGTAATCAACGTTTCTGTGATGAATGTACAAGTATTCGAGTTAAAAAGGTGAGAATTTTTTGGGTGAATCTTGTGTTTTGATCACAGACGAACAGCTGATCGTCAAAAGCCTTTGTTTACAAATTGAAATTATTCTCCGGTGGCTAAAACTTATAGCTATAACGGTTGCTTTTATATTAAAAAGCACATTAATGTTTTATGCCAGYTTTAAACCTTTTATATCACACTTTTAATCAAATTTTTACAGCTTGTCCGATCAAATTTTCATCATGAATTATTAAAATATCGTTGTTGATACGTATTAGTGATTTAACTACAACATCATTTAACTTCTAGTGTACCACTTGCAAAGCCCATGTRTGCACCAAGTGCATGGAAAAARATGCTAATTCGGACAAAGAATCTTACAAATGTGGAAAGTGCTGTTCAAAAGTGCTCAGACCTTTGCAGGAAATTTGCCGGACAACCATAAGGGCCTCTATAGGACTGGTACAAGAAACCTCTACCACAAGGGACATAAACAAGAATGTACAAAGTCTTCCTCTCCCAAATATGGTCAAGAATTTTGTGTGCTTTRAATAATGGATTAATACACAACTATATTTTCCTCGCAGACATTTTTTATGAGCTCCTGTCCCAGGGAGACCTCAGTAAAAAAAGTCTAGAGCACTAAAATAATAATAGTATATCAATATGAATTAAATAGCGTCCCTCAATTGTAGATTTTATTAGTTCATAGCAAAATTTATTGGTTTATAGCAGATAGATACAGCCTTTTGCAAAAATTTAATGAGAATTGTTGAAATATCTAAATATCATAATATCAAGTGCATGATGGGTAATCCCGGGCGATGCCCTTAGTCCCTTGTCTTTGTAGTTTAGTTTTATTTGGCGAGGTAATGATCCGTAGTTCTGAACATTTTCTCGATGTCAACAATGAATTATTCTAGCAAACCCGCGTGTTCTGGACAATACATGGATATGGATATTATGATATTTAGACAATTCTCATAATTTTTGCAAAAGGCTGTAAATGAGATGTCATATAGGAAGTAGGCAGATCCAGCTATACATTTGGGTGCAGGGGGGAGTACCCTCTCCTGAGATCTCATATCCTTCAATAATTTTTCTTATTTTGTGACCATTCTTGTGGAGTGTACCCCCTCCTGAGTACCCTGCATCCTTACCTGAACAATCCTGGACAAGTGCCACAGGGATAGTCATAAAAAACATAGAAAGAATACTGCACTGCAGGGATATTTTTCATAATCTTTAATTAAATTTTGAATTTGTAAAAACTGTTACTTTGTACAGACTGTAAAATTTATGTTATTTAATAGCAAATAATTTTATTATAATCATAGAATTATTGACCAAAATATACATTACAAAAATTCACAGTTAAAAATTAAAAAAAATTGTATGCCCGCACAATTTAAATAGACTATCTATAATAAGTAGTAAAAAAWCAACTTTGATAATTTTGTTGTTTTACATCTGTTCCATGTCCAATAGGTTTTGTAAAAGTTAGGCCTTACGTCCATACATCGTGTATATATAATTATATCAGTCGTTCAAATTGCCTGAATTTTGGATTTAATATATGAGATGTATAATAATATGGACACTGTCACTATAGGCCTTTTGGCTTTTATATAATATAACTAATATAACTCTTTATCTGTTCTTAAATCTATTCAGAATTATCAAGAGAATGTTCTAGTCTTTCCAAGCATTCCTCCATATATTCATGTGTCAGGTTATATCTTGTAATAATCCCAACAAGCTATAAAACASAAGAATGATAATTGTTGCTATAAATGCAATAAAAAATTGGATTCCTGTTTTAAATTRCACACCAGTCAGTACTGTTGTGTACCGTGAACCAAGTACGTCATAGGTTTCCGAACACACGAGTGGGACTTGTAGAAATATTTTGCAGATTTTGGTTCTCACTTTAGAAAAAAATTGATCCGACCAGCAGGATTCGAACCTGCGAACCCTAAAAAAGATCTATCAGATCTGACATTAACCCTAAACCTAACCGTTACACCAACAGATGATTTCSCTTGGTTGCACTCCTTTTTTTCTAGTATTTAAACCCCGAAGCCCCTGCATAACAGCAGCGAAACATTCAATAATTCGTTTTTTTGTGGTCATAGAAAAATGCATTTGCAAAAGCTGATGTGGTGTCATCACGTGACTATAAGTCTATGATTCTGCCCCCAAGTCAACTTTGCCTCCGCCGCCCCTGTGCAAAAGTGCACCTTTCAAGATGGAACTCACAGGTATAAAAGATTGCACACTGCATTGTGATTTGTTGTTTGAATGTTAATTTATTATTAGAATCAWGATATAGTTTAATGATGGGCCATACTTAAACATGTCTCACCTGGCCCTTGTTGTTGATGACAGGAAGATGGCGTAAACCCATTGTCCTGAACAAGTTAAATACCAGAGGAACTGGTGTCCATGGAAACACAACATATGGACAGGGGTTCATATACGGTGTCACATCCTACAAAGAAATTCAAAAACCCAGTTTACCAGCACTTGCATTGCTACTCAACCCATAGGTGTTAAGTCAAGACATATATGACAACAATAAACTGAATTTAACATTATAACAAATGGCATGTTTTCAAAACATTCAACTGGTGCTTGGAAAACCAAATCTCTTTGAATGACTGATTACAGGCTATTGCTAGCTGGCATGACTTGTCTGCATTGATCATGTAGCAGTGTAAACAACTCTTTTTCAGTAATTGTACTCATAAAGCTTTAAGGGACACCAGCTTACTGGATAACAACAACAACATTTTTTAATATAATTTTAGGCCATGCTTGCTGCTAAGTTAATAGCAAGTGACTTATTAACCTGTTTCGAATTTTAAGGAAAATACGTTCTTATTTAAATGGTGTCTATTTTGATATTTTTGGGCTAACAGGTTCATAAATTACAGGTTCTTATATACATCTAGAACTATGAACAAAAATGATTAAGTAAATTAAAGAAGAAATGTATACCATAATCTTATCTTTGTCACTATGGGTGATGTGCAGATTGTAGACTTCAGGAAATCGTGGATATTCAGACGTCATCCCAGCAAAGTTGACTATGGGTTGTGACTCAATCTTTTATACAATGTGATAAAAAAACAAATTAATAAATAAGTGATGGATTGTATGAAAGAATGTCCCATCAATTGAATGCATTAAAAGTTACATAGTACTTGGTATTACCAAGTATTCAGAGATATAAAAGATGAATTAACCAATAAATCAACTTCAAATTAGGTTCGATTATCATGAATTAATGACTTAATTTCTTGAGGGAAAAATAATAGTCTATTAATCAAATGTTTACCCCATCAGCCTCGGCATAATAAACACCTCTTTTCAGCAGCGTCACAAGCTGTGACCTTAGAATAATACCATGTAAAGTTACAAATTGCTTTTCACTTTCGGAGCTACGTAYATCAAGATGATTTTCTGGTATAGAATTCATTGAACCACCTGAAATGACATCCAATGATCATAAAGAAGGTCTAGTAAGTTTAAGTTAAAATCAATAGATACATWATTAATTTTGGTAATTCAAAAAATAAAATTATGATCAGCAAATATTCACAATTGAATGATAATTTTGGTTGGTGTGAGCTCAGTGTTGAGAAATCTTGGATGATGCACAAAGTCCTCTTTTTTACTCAGACTGTTCAAAGATACGGCCAGGATGATCATACAATCTATTAGACCTGTATTTACTCCCAATAATATTATCTATTATCAAGGTGTTGTTTATAGCAAGTCAATCTACCTGTGAACATAAAGTTGGATTGTTCCTTTCCAGACTCATCAAAACCAAGTCTTGCATTRATAAAAGATGTTTGAGGCATAGATGATGACATCATTGAYCCATACTCYTCCATAGAGCTTCCCTGTTGCCTTAGCTGCAATCTTGCAGCATTATCAATCTCCCATCTGTCATGCAATCCTGAATCCTCCACAGATTGGCTTCTCAATCTCTGTTCGTTCACAACAAATGACAAGGTCTTAGACCGTGCATACTCGTCGTTAGTTGATGAAGGGTTGCCAGCRTAGTCRTCATCTTCAGGSATTGTAGAGACAGCTTTGTCTATKGTTACAACAGGGTAAGCRTTGTGTGCTGTRGTCTTTAGGATCCCAACAATCGATCKGACTCTTGTATGAGGGTAGATGTATGACARGCATGACTCCATGATATTGTGGGCTTTGAGTCTACAAGAATCAAAAATGTTAATTACACAGTTGAATCACCACTAGACTGGTCCATCTCTCTATTATTATGGACAGCCTTTTTTCTTCAATACACTGTGTCCACATTTTCTTGTAAGCTGACAGCACTCCAAGAGTGTCTGGTTATGGGAGATCAAAATTAATTAATTAATTAATTAATCAATTAATTAATTAATCAATTAATTAATTAATTAATTAATGTATTATCATGCGCATCTATAATATTTAATGGGTTACATAAGAAGGGTGCCCCTATGCAAAGGGCCAAACTTGTCACTAACC